GCTCTAAGCATTTCAAACCAGACGATTTCGCTCGACGCCTGGATGATCAGGAAGAGAATGGGATCTTGCTGACTCCATGGCTTTAGCGAGACGAGTTTGGGATAAGCGCTTTTCCATCGATTCATGCAGCCGTTGCTGCATCTGAGAAACAGCACTCAGTCAGTGGAGCCGAGAGAGACAGAAGAATGGTGAGATATTTTACTGAACAAATGTTCTCTGCCTTGATATATCAGTTTCCTTTCTTGTTCAATTTTTTTAAAAAAGAAGTATTTTTTGTACTGTGAAAGCGGTAGTTAAGCGAAATGTTGGATCAGCAGCGACATCAGATGAACCGCAGTCGAAAATGGCAAAGGTTTGTCAATGTGAAACACCGGAAGCTATTGCTAGCACAAGTGGAGTTTCGTCCGAAGTCCAACAGGAACCACTGGCCGAACCACCAGTGATCTTAAATGATTTATCTGATCCATCTGAAGCTCAGAATATCATCAAAGAGTGTGAAAATTGTGCCCTTCTGAAGGTGGAGAATAGGAAACTGCGAAATCGAGTGAGGACGTTACAAGAAAGTCTAGCAAAGAGGAAGTCAGAAAGCAGAAAGCTTCACAGAAAAAGTAAATTCGATTCGAAATGGAAACTTAATATTTGATCATATACACTCTATATTATTCAAGTGCGCCTTAGCGATTGAAGTTTGACGCTCTTTAAATAGTAGTTAAGTGCGGATTTTTGTGACCAAAGTATCAAGTTTGGGGAGCTGTTTTCGTCTGTTTTGTTTACTATTGTACTAAATCACCAAACATATGTGGCATGCTGACCGCAAAATGAATTTTTTCAATCACCAAAACTTTACGGCAAAATTCTGTTAGCCTGTATTCAACCTTTACACTTGTATGATGTGACAGAACAGATACAGACTGTATGACCAGATAGATACCAATTTGTTTTATTACAGATTTATACACTCGGTGTCTCTACACGTATTTCACCTTCCTTTTCTAACTTTGATCCCCTCATATTTGTTGTTTTAGTGAGAAACCTCTCTTTGAAGCTGAAGGTTCTGCTCGGGATTTGGAATGTGTTGAGAATGAAGAAGAACTCAGTGAAGATGAGGAAGAGCTATATGACGAAGAGGATGAGACTGTGGAATCTGGGTCAGTGTATGGCACAACAGAAACAGAAACTGAGACTGAAACAGAAACAGAGGAAGAGAATCATGGAAAGGTTAAACGGTAATGTTCAGTATATGAAAATTTGGCATTTATGTATAATGGGGGAGGGTGGTACTTACCTGTTGTCAATGAGTGATTACAGTTATGAGCCATGGTGTGATGAATGTTATGAAAATAC